ATTTACAAAAATTTGCAGCAGGAGGGTGCTTTCCCTGATCTTTAACATGAAGCCACAGGCAGTACCAGAAGCCCAGCCTGTGACCATTTCAGAGAGTTTGGTCGAGTTTCGAGCTGTTTATGACATTTCAAAATGAGAAAAATTTATCCAGCCTGAGATATTTCTACTAAATATTTTCTTCAGCCTTGTAAGAATTTAATTGAAGGCAAGTAGGAATTACATACTTCAACGGCAGCCACAGCATCTGTGCTACGTGATGTGTCCTCCTGTTCAGTAACAAACAACAGATTACTGTTGCTCTACAAGAGGCTCCAATAGTTTCTGAATTTTTCTTTCTGAGGCAAAAGGGGAAAGCACAGCTATGATGTGAGAAAATCGTAAATATAGGGAAAAGTACATTGCTATAGCTCCCTCAGGGCTAAGCTGAATACAGATCCTGCCTCCCTGAGAAAGATGCTGTTTTGAACACAGGAGAGTTATGAAGATAGGGCATCATGGAATTAAATAAGTGCTATTGATTTTATCCTTTTCTTCCTAACAGAGCTAGTGACTCCTCCGAGGACAGGAAAGATGGTTTTGGCTCTGATTTGGAAAGTGCTTTCCAGAAATGCAGCTGCAAGTGTCCACATGTGTCACAGCCTCACCACTGCTTAATTTGCTCAGTCTTCCTTTTCTTTGTTTTTGGAGCTGATAGGCAAAAATTTAGGGGGACTTCCATGCAAAATGGAATCTATTCATCAGAATCTAAGATACCTATAACTTCTTTTAATTTTTGGAAACCTAGACCAAGCCTTTTCAGATGAGAGATACATTTTCATTAACATTCTTCATTTCATTCAGATCCCTGGTGCCCCCACCCCCCCAGCCCTTTAATATTTTTAAGACAATTAGGTGGTTCTGCGAAAAAAAAATCCATTGAAAAAAGGTTTCTTGCAAAAAGTATTTTGGGATGTATTTCAGAAACTTGCAGTCATTTTTTAACACCATAGAAAGAGCAAATCTGAGGTTGGAATGGTTTCTTTTTCATCCTCGTATTAAAATAATGAAAAAAGTCAATGCAGTAGTTGAAGTCAGAGAAGGAAGATTCAATAAAGTTTTCTGAAATATCTCAGCATATAATTGAAATATTTGTAGCTGTAATTGTTTTTTTGTTTCTCGCTCCTTGTCTCATTATCTTGGCTTCAAAAACACGATGTACTTTACACTGCTGCAGCAGTCTCATCCCTTAACTAGAGCTATCTCGGTGTTTGCTGGCACACCCGCAGCGTGGATTCTTTCAACCTGCAGCGTTGTCTGCGGAGTTTCATGTGTTTGATAAATTTTCAAAGCACCCAAGATAAAACCCCAAGACTCCAGAGACGCATGTTTGGATACTGCCCGGTCCTGGGAAGCTTAGCAGTCCTCGATGGGGAGAGCCCCTGGCTCTGCACCCCAGTTCTTGGCTCGGATCTCTCCACCCGGCACCGGGACCATTGCAGTGGCATCTCAGACCATGTTGTTTGGGAAACACTGCATTTCAGGGTTCTGAATCATTCCTGAAATGCCTAGCTCCTGGGAGGCTGACCAATTTTCCAGTTGTGGTCCACACAGACCTCCCCCCCAGAACTAGAAACACGTGAAATTGAACCAGGCAGCCCTTTGGGTCTGCTCTGTCCCATCCAACACGTGGCAGTTGTGTCATGTTCAACCAGCTGCAGGGTGTGGGTGGGGGAAAACGGTGTCTGGGTCAGGATGCTGCATGTTACGCACCAGGGGAGTATTGCTATTTACTGCAGTGCAGCTATGCTTTCGTCCCGGTCAGAAGTACTACAGGTCAGAGGGTTATTAAAAATGTGTAGCTGCTATTAGATGAATCGGTGTGAAATACGAAACTAATATTAAACAAGGATGTATTGAGTTATGTCCGTGCTTTCTCAGGAGAAATTAAATAAGACAAAACATTTTTCTTCATGAGGAATTTGAATTTTCTGAGATTCCTGAATTCCCTTTGCTCCCATTGAATGTGGTGGGACATGAAGATGCTGAGAAATCACAGCTTTCAGCTGTTCTTGCTTTAGTTTAGGATTATTGGCTCTAAAATGATTTCTTGTAAGTTTGGAAAATCACCACAAAGAACCAAAAAGCATAGAAACTTTCTAATACTGACAGCAGGTAAAGGATTCAGAGTTCTTCAGCTCTGTCTCCAAGGGGCATTTGTGCTGCAGTGTTTCCAAATATTGCCTTTTAGGAAATGTTTAAATATGAAAAATCAAAGGGGTGTGATTCTGCTGCATGGCAACAATAGTTGTAAGCAAGAAAGATGTCACATGGTGGAAAGGAAGGTTTGTATTGTTGAACACAAATATTTATTTATGGAAATATTTGTTGAACACAAATATTTATTTTATTGAAAAAACCCACCAAATAATATATAAGGAAATGAATTTTCCTTTGTTTTAAACAAACAACAAAAATAAAAAATTCGAAGAGCTTCTATTTACCTAACAAGAAAACAGGAAATCTGTTATTGATACGTGTAATCCTGATTCTCTCAATTAGCTTGATTTATATGGAATGAATGTTATAGTCAAATACCAGAAAGATTACAGTTTTATGCATGGTTTGGCAGAAATAATATACCTTCTTGCTCATTTTTCTGACAAAATACAATTTATTTTTTTTTCAGCAGAAAAACATCTGTGTGTATTCAATTGGGAAAAAACCCTGTCTTTCAGCCTTCTTTAAAGGCAAGAAGTTCAGTGCTGCTTATCTGAGCCGTATGCAATCCCCTGAATCTTAACTGCATGGCTCATTGTTAGTGCTAGGCACAACAATGATAACAGGGTAGCTTACCCATCCTGGGAAACCACAGCAGGTGATGAGCCTGTATCATTCACAATAAATCATTAGAGATTTCTTATATTGCCCTTTCCCAGAGGAAGAAGACAGCAGTTCAAGGAGGCAAGGAAATATTTAGATGGCATTATTAAAAACTGGAAGTTTTCTGTACCTTTATTGAAATAATTGTACTATCGTTAGTCCATGTTAATATTTTATTATTTTTATGACGCCATTTTTATACACTATACTATCTTTTAAGCCTGAAAAACATGAATGTAAAGAGAGAGCTGACTTAGGTCTTCTGTAAATTGATATTATTTAGGAACAGAAAAGTTGTTGGGCTGTAAAATGTATTTTAGCTTGAGT